CCGGACACGGAAAAAAAAAAAAAAAAAAAAAAAAAAAAAAAAAAAAAAAAAAAAGAAACAGTCTCTTTTCTATTGACGAACAGTACTAAGAAACCTCGACAGGAGGAAGAGCAGAGTCATAATTATGATTTCTGAACAGGTCCACTTTGGGTTAAAGAACAATAACATAACTGGGGTTTGTATATCATATTTAAGTTCCAGAGGCAGTTGTTTCCTGCCCTGTTCTTGCTATTGAAACAGAGAGAAATCTACTTTGAAGTAATAAACCTAGAATAAAATAAAATAAAAGTGTGTGGAGGAGATGGAATTTATTTGGTTGCTCAATCTTGAGATACAGCTGGATCCTGGGAGTAAGTAATATTAAATCTATGTCTTCATCTCTAGCTTCTGCTTTCCTCTGTGTGTGGTCTTATTGCCCGCGGCTGAGTACTAAGGCTGCTGGCAATTCCAGCTTTATTTTCTTTGAGCAAGAGTCAATCTCTTCTACCAGTTCTAGCAGAAAGTCTTGAGTAGGATTTTTTTTTTTTTTCCTTTTTGTCTTTTTTCGTGTCTGGCAACGGATCGCAACCCTCTGTCGCGCCCGTACCGGACCGGGACCAGCCACGGGATCGCAACCCTCAGCGTCGCACCCGCACCTCGCTCAGCCAGTGAGCGGGAACCAGTCTGTATGTAGGATCCGAACCCTCGGCGGGAGCGCCGCCACACTCCCAAGTGGCGCACTGTAGCAGTGCGCCACCGGGCCGGCCCTTGAGTAGGATTTTTGATTGACGAGAGTCATTCATTTTGTCCTGGGAGATAGGGTGCTTTGATTGGTTAGACCGAGTTATGTTTGGACCCTGTAATGGGTAGTGAGTGAGCACCCTGATGAGCAGGTCATGTGGAGTGGGGAAGGGGTGGTTACCTTAAAGGACAGTGTTGCTGTGTGCGTAAATAAATAATATCTGTTTACTCTATTACCTCTCATTACTTGTGCTTTTGGAATAGAAGAGGGAGGTGGAGAGTATTCTTAATATACAAAATATCTCTAACAAATACACAGTCATTCAGATTTACCAACCTCTACTCCTTTTCCACTTTTTGGTGCTGTGTGTAAAGTCAGAATATGAGAATTTTCAACATCTTTTCAAGTCTTTTAAGGATTCATTTGGTAATTTTCCTAAATTGGTGGCATGCGATATCCACGAAGAGGAGGGAAGGTGTTTTGTCCCCTTCAGTTTGGACTCTAACTAGCTTTGTGCCCTTAGGAATTAAACTTTCATCTTTTGCCCTCAGTCTTTACATTTTCTTTTTAGGAGCAGCTTGTGATACAAGTGGTATAAGTAAATTCATTCATTCCTCAAACATTAATTGTACGCTGACCATGTGGAGACATTGTGTTAGGTGTTTGGGATGCAAAGATGGGTAAGAAGCATTTCTTGCTCTTGATGAGCATTTAAAATAGTAAAATGGTGTTAGTGTCCTTGCCCTCTATTACTGTTTCTGGATTATTTTTGTCTTACCCTGTCTTTTAAAATTATTTTTAAAATGCTATTTAGTTATATTACTTTATATCTTTCTTTATTGTTATCACTGACACCTCTCCTCCCCTTCATCCATCAGCCATCTCCTTTATTTATTTAATTTCCTTCTTGTCCAGCTTTTTCTTTTCAGAAAACTCTTAATCTACTTTATCATTTCCCTATGGCTATTGTAGCAAATTATAAAACTTGGTGGTTTAAAACAATATAAGTTATCTTAAAGTTCTAGAAGTCTGAAGTCCAAAATGAATCTCACTGGGCTAAAATCAGGGTTTCAGCAAGGCTGCATTCCTTCTGGAGGCTCTAGGAGGGAATCCATTTCCTGGCCTCTTCTAGTCCATTATCTGAGTTGTGGCCCCCTTCCATCTTCAAAGCCACTGGTTGGTTAACTTTTCTAATGCTGTATCACTCTGACACTGTTCTGTTGTTCTATCTTCATCTCTGGTTGTTCTGCTTCCCTCTTTCACTTATAAGGACGCTTATGATTACATAGGGCCCACCTGCATAATCTGGCATAATCTTTTCTTAATTTCATCACATCTGCAGAGTCCCTTTTGCCATGTAAGGTAGTATATTCACAAATACTAGGGATTAAGGTGTATATATTTTTGGAGGCATTATTCTGCCTTCCACATCTTGGTCTTGTACATTTGTTTCACTCATCTGACAAAATTCAATCCTATATGAATCAAGCTATTTTCTTTTTCTCTGTAGGTGAGTACCATGTGCTGCTAAAGGGAGTTAAACAAGAGTTAATTGATAACAATATCCATTCATGATCACAACCTCAACTGGTCCTTCCATACCCAGACTGTCTTATTTTTTCTGGTCAAATAGTTCTCCCATTTTCTCCTATGACTATTTAAAAACCTTTACGATTCTCCTCAAACCTTTGGTAAATTCTACCCTTTAGCATATGACTTCACTTTGTTACAGGAAAAATCATATCCATTACACAGGAAACTTCCTCAACATCCTGACAGCAAAAGTGTCTGTCTTAGATCAGTTTCCTTAATAGTGGAGCTCAAGACGGGGATTTAAAGTTTGCAATTCAGTGAATTTTGCAAGATAAGGTACACCCACGAAACCATGACCACACTCAAGGTTCAGAACATTTCCATCATCTCCAAGGGTTTTCTTATCCACTGCTGCACTTCATATCTCCCTACACCCAGGCACTAGACACCACAGTTGTATTTTCTGTCACTGTAGATTAGTTTTCATTTTCTAGAATTGGTGTAAATGAGGTCATACAGTGTGTACTCTTCTGTGTCTAGATTCTTTCCTTCAGCATAATGATTTGTGTTTACATTGTTGTATGTATCAGTAGTTCATTCCATTTTTTTACTGATTAGTATCCTGTTGTGTGGATATATCAAAAATTGTTGATCCTGTTCACCTGTTAATGGACATCTGGGTGGTGTTTCCAGTTTTTGGCCATTGCAGATAAAGCTGCTATGAACTTGTGTGTACTAGTCTTAGTGTGGACACATGCTTTTTTAAAAAATTGTAGTGAAAACATATATAACATAAGGATTGCAGTGTTAAACATTTTTAAACATAACATTGTGTGGAACTAATTACATTCATGGTGCTGTGTCACACTGCCTCTTTTTCCAAAACTTTTTTGTCATCCTAAACATAAACCATGTACACATTAAGCAATAATTTCTTTTTTTTTCATCTTTTGAAGTCTTAATTTATATTTTAACCTTAAATGTATTATTAGTGCCTCAGATACAATTTAATCTTAAATCTTTAAAGGCCCCCTGAAACAAAACAAAAGTATACATTTTTTAAGTTTCCTCACTTTCTGGTATTGTTTCCCCCAGTCTTCAGTTTTACCCTGACTTAGAATGTACAGACTTCATCAGACCATCCGTGCTCATGAACTTGGGCCTTTCTAGAGGGAAGCCTAAGGCTCAACTCCAGATGAGCTGTGCGAGTACACCTAGTGCCCATGACACCCCAAACAGGACTGTGTAGTAATTCGTCTCTGTCATGCCATAGTACTGGAGCAGCACCCCACTGTGAGCATCTATATTGGGCCAAGGATTCTTGGCCTTGCCCTGCTCTAAGAGGATATTGGGTACAATCTTGTACAGTTGAGCAACCAGCTTAAACATGGGGTCATTAGGCAGGTGTTTCAGAGCAAACTCTCGCTGACAGGTATATCGTGGATCAGTCTTCCTTAGTACTGCATGGCCATAGCCTGGGACAACCCGTCCTGAGTTGAGTGTGTTCCAGATGTAGTCTCGTAACTTCTCATCTGACACATCTTTGCCAACTTCCTTTTGTAGTTGTGTTAGCCAAACAAGCACTTCCTGATTTGCCAGTCCATGTAGAGGCCCTGCTAGCCCATTCATGGCTGCCGCAAAGGACAGGTAAGGGTCTGAAAGGGCACTGCCCACCAAGTGGCTGGTATGCGCACTGACATTAAGCAATAATTTCTAATTATTCCTTTCCTCCCATTTCTGGTAACCTCTAATCTACTTCATATATATTTTTGTTTTTCTTGGGTGAATACCTAGGAGTGGTTAGGTGATGTTTTCTTTGGTGATTTGCCAGAAGGACTCATAAGACTCAAAAGCAATTTATATTCACATCTGAGACTTATTACAACAAAAGATACAGAGTAAGCATTACGAAAAAGATACGTATTGGTGGTATCTAAGGAGTTATGGCACAGGCTTCTTAGTCCTTCCTTGTCTGAGCACACAGGCCATACTTTCATTCTGACAGTGAATTACAGGGAAATGTGTGGAGCATCTCTGCCCAGGTCTGAGACTTTTTGCTG